CGCGGCGGCGCCGGCCAGATGTTCCCCCTCGGCCCGCCCCCCTCCTCCCCTGCCCGCGCCGGGCGTCTGCGATTGACCGAAAGCGGCAGGACCGGCGCTCCCCGCCCGCCCCCAGGCCGCAGACTCTTCCAATAGGAGGGCGTCGTTTCAGAGAGGGCGGAGGGGGCGGTGGGCCAAAGGCGGACTGACAAAGGGCTCTAGCCAATAGGAGAGGCTATCTGGGGCTGCCGCCCGCGCTCGCCAATCGCAGGCGGAAAATGTCGGGGTGGGCGGAGCCCGGGCGGGTGGGGGCCGGTAGCGAGGCGGCGCGGGGCGGAGTCCGCGGGCGCTGCGGCGATGTCGGCAGCGGCGCCCCTCTGGGTGACTTGGCCGTGAGAAAGTGAAAGGAGCCCGCAGGCGGCGGCGACAGCTGCGCTGGGAGGGGCCTGTTTCCAGGCTCCGAGTCCCCGCGCACTTTGTGGGTGCGGAGCAAGCTCTTCGGTGCGCGCCGTGGCGACCGCGGATATACTTTTTAAGCGTGCTGGGCTTGGCCGGGCACCCGGGGACGCGGGACTCTAGGCCGGCCTCGGCAGCCCCTCTGCGCCCTCGCCTGGGTCCCCGCCTGCCCTCGCCGGCTCCGCGCCGCGGTGTCCGCCAGGTGCACCTCGGCGAGCCGCTGAGGGAGGCGCAGCTTCGCCGGCAAGTGTTAGGCAGAGCCGAGCGCCTGCACTTCCCCTAGAAACCTCGCGTCCCGTCTATACTTAGGCTGTTACAAGGCATTCCTGAGTGACCAAATTCTAGGGCTTTACAGTAAAATTGATGCTTGTAGATGCTTTAGCGGATTCCTTAATTGCTATGTAACAAGCCACAACTTTACCCAGGCAAGATGTTAGACTTGTGTCGCTGTTCCTTACCTTCAAATAAACTTCTCCTCAGTCCCTTTTCTTCGCAGTTAAACTGTGTTGATCACTGGCCACAGCCAGGAAAAAAGGCAGAAATTTCTGCTCTGGAGAAAAGTGAAATCTTGTTAAGTCAAATGCGATAAAAAGGTGAATAGCAAAGGGGGGGGGCAAGAAAATGAAATAGAAATCTGCATAGTGAGGAAGTCAATACATGAGTAATTGTCTAAATGAAACGTGTTTATTCTTTGCTAACCGAACCCGGATTGGCAAGCTTGTTGCTAACCAACTTGCGGGGACACCTTTCCAGTGGGCAAAGTGTGCTTTCGCTTTGTTCCGGGTCAAATGGGTAAAGTTGAATGGTGTGGGCAAATCAGACATGTTGAATTGCTAATGAGGTGAAACGGGAGCTCACGAAATTCCTGAGACTGAAACAGCATTGGGACATCCAGTTAGAAACAGGCGTGATGTTCTCTACTCTTTCCTCAATCTTCTGTGTCCTCGTGGACACGGATCACTAAGGTCAAGGCTATCCTATACTAACTGGAGATTTTTATCCCATGAAGTCTATTTTGTATCCATGCTGTTGATAAATTCTGGGTCTTTCCAGTCTTTTGTTAAAAGGCCCAATTTCAATTTCACATGTTTCAAATTAGGAACATTTATAACTGTTCTGATGGATGAAACATACTGAGAGAGAGAAGTAAAAAAGAACACATGCATCGCCAACAAGTTCAGGGGGAAAGGGGGGAGAGTGTTTGCATTCTCAAAGCTGTATCTCACCAATTAAAAATAAGGAAAGTAGATCTCTGGATAAATAGATATCAAATAATTGATAATGTCAGGATATCAGACACATTCATGAGAAAATCAGAACATTCGGATTATCCACAAAAAACTTAAGATACCAAAGTGTACGTGGTTGAGAACAAAATTGCAAGTCTAACAAAAGGTTTTACAGAATGTATCTACAAGTAGAATAACAACCCCACAGATGTGGAGGAAGAGACTTTGGTGCATCAAAATTATGATCATTGTTTTTTCCTTCTAACACTCATTACTACAATTCATTTTGAGAACTGGAAATAGAGATAAAATGGGTATTTAAGGGAGGCAGTATGTCACCCCTCAATTGCTACAACAGTCTTATCCAAGGTCCCTGGTGCAATTATACTTTCTCTGCCCTTTTAAAATTCTCTGGCTTCATTTGAATTTATAAACTTACTGTGCAAATGATACTTTTAATCCTCTTTAGAAAATCAATATACTGCAAATTTTGACAGTTATCAGATGTATCATAATACAGAATGAATACTATTTTTTATTATGCACCCATTGAAACCATGGAAGGTAAAAATCAAGATTCTAAATGTTTCCTTTAAGTAAGTGCCTCAAAGTGGCGTCTGTTCGCCCCTATACAGCAGGCTTAGCAAATTAACCATTATACCAAACTACTTGACAGAGTTGGTGGTTGTAGTTGATGGGGGAGGAGGGGATTGCTTTTGTGTGTTTGGGATTTGTTGTTGTTGTGTTGTTTTGGAGTTAATAATCTACTTTCCTTTTTTTCCTCACAAAGTGGGGGAGGGTGCAAAAGGTGCCAATACTAAAATATTGAGAAAATACACCATTGCTTTCTCTCTGTAGGAACATCATTCCTGTACAGTTCCAATTAATTTATACTTTTCTAAGTCCTGAAATTTAAAAAGAAAATGCTAGAAGAGAATCTAACCATTCATAGTTAGAGTTCTTGCCAGAGAACAAGTTTTGTTTTAATAACATGCATTTAACCAATTACAATTTAACAGTATCGAAAACTGACAGACCAAATAAAATTTAATTTGATGGGTAACTGCCTAAAATGAATGTCTGACTTTAAATGTGGACCACAGGTTAAATCACTTAAAAACATCAGTATTTTTATTATACTTTATACAGTAGATCATGTTGGAAACGTATCAATGAAATTAATTTTTGAACATTGACTGTATTAACCACATATAATTGGAATTTTTTCTTTAAAAATGAGAGAGGCAAATAACAAAAGACTATATATTCCAATGTGTGATATTTATAATATAACAACTATAAAATGTAACAAAGTACAGTATACGTTAACCTGGCTTTTGTTTTTTGTTTGTGGGTTTTTTCTTTTAATGGTCTCACTGAATTGCCTAGGTTGATCTCAAACTCCTGGGCACAAAGGATTCTCTTGCCTCAGCATCCTGAGTAGCTGAAAATAGCTACCATATCTAGCTGTGGTTATTTTACCTATAGAGAGAAAAGCACACACTAAATGAAAAGTTTGCTCAAGCTTCTAGTAAGCCTGCTCACTTTCCATACCACACAGTACATGAAACTTTTAACTTAGCTTTTCTTTCTCTCCCACCCGCAACTCTCCCCATTCTCTCTCTCCCCCCATCCCTAGCTTTTAGAAATGAACAGGTTGGTGTGGTCTAAAGGGAGAAAGAGGCACAGAAACATAGCTGAGACAGTGAAAAAAGAACGTAAATGAACAAATTGGAACACCTGTCGCAACTGTGAAGTAGACAGGGAGCAGCATTTTTAAAGATACTTGGATATACATTTATACTTCTCCAGAGCACATTATGTACCAAGTCTTTCCCGGGATTGTGGATTCTGTGATACTTGAACTATTGGGTAAGTTCTTGAACTATGATCAGCCAGATGTTGGAGATCATTCTGCCTGATTCCCAGCCCTGAAGACAAAAGTGATGTCTCCGTAAACTCTGGAGGAGAAACCCTCAAGGTGTGCGGGCACCAGTCTCACCCCATACCAAAAAGGCACAGAGCCCGCACCAGTCATTCAAACCTGTGGAGGGTTAAGGACAAAGAGGAGCAAAGGGTACAATATTCCCAGAACTGCCCTTTCGGTGAAGCTAGTTTCCAGTTGCTTACTGTAAATTTGTGTTTTTATAAACAGCAAAATGCCTGAAGGAGGCTCCATCTGGACTAAGACTGACCACTTCAGAGAATGTAGGAAAAACGCAAAGAGGGACTTCAGTAGCCATTCAATTCACACCTCTTTTTTCTCTTTTTTACTATCTTTCTGTCTCCGTCTCTCATTGACTTGACCTTCATCATATGCATTGCACCTTTTGCGTAAGTTTAAAAATGCATATATAGTATTTTCATAGTTAACTTTGTGCAATAAATACATTCATCATTCACTTTATATATGATCCCAGGCAGTGTGTGTGCACGTGCATGTGTGCTGGGGATGGAACCCAGGGCCTTCACATGTTAGGCAAGTGCTGTCCTCCTGAGGGACACCTCCACCCACCCAGGGAATTTTGAACCCCAAGCCGCACTCTTTCTTGTTACACAGAATACCTTCCTGTGATCCACTTACTGAAGTTCAGTCAGTTAAAAATTATTTAAATGTTACCCTAAATAAAATAAATGTATATAGGCAAGCTTACCGTCCTTGAAAATCACACAGTGCATCTAAAAACCAGATGTTAGAATTTATCTCCTGTATTGAAGATTGCATTGATTTGGGTAATTAAAAGATGCACTTATTGGGTCCGAGATTTAGCTCAGGGGTTCTGGCACCTGCCTCCCAAGCGCAAGGTCCTGAGTTCAATCCCCGGTACCCACCCCCCGCCCTGAAAAAAAAGGTACGTGTATTTCATCAATAGATTTCTTTTTAGTTTTGATTTCTAAAGTAATTCATCTGAACATTTGACTTTTCCAGATGATAGGCTGTTTAAAAAGATTTGATATGAACCTATGATATTCATGTAAGTCTTTAAGAGAGAGGTGTTGTTCTAAAATTCTGTAAATATAGTAAATTAGGTATTCTTTTGTTCAAAATAAAAATGTAAACCTTTTATGCTTGCTTCACTCCTGAATACAGCACCTTCACAGGCTTGAACTAGCAGAAAGGAAAATGACACATCCAGAAATTATCTGAAAACTTGCAATACTTTGGAGAAATGTGTGTCTGTATTATCATAATTCTTGTACATTTTCTGCCATGTGCTAGGTGCCAACAATACATGAAGTAATGTAATCCCCCTTATATTTATGACTTCATTATGTATAAATGTCTTTGTGAACCCACTGAACAACAGTAAGATTTTTTTCTTTCAGTGATAATTTATTGTTGATGCCTCGTAAATGCAGAGTAATCCTAACTAATATAAATAATGTAAACTATCTTAATTAAAATCCTTGGTTATAAAGAAACTCTATACATTCAGCACAAAAGTCTGGGTGCATACCAAATTCAAACTGCTTGCAGACATAAAAGCAGACAGAAGGTTAAATCTCACTCCAGAAATTTACTTTGCCCTGAGGGATCACATGCAACTCAGGAAGTTGCTTCTCTTACAAAGAACTAGCATTTCTGCTTAAGACTAAAATGATTATTTTTAAAGTACCCATTTTACAATGCAAATGTGTATCTAAATTAAACTCAGTAAAAATAAGCACTTTAAATTGAATCTGCAGTAATGACTTTATGGGAGACAATAGAAAAAGTGGTTCTCGAATATCAACTATGAGAAAACAGATTTCAAAACCCTCCTAGAGGTCTGGAAGCTTTCTTTGTTCTGTGTATGATAATGTATTGGCCTGTGTTTAACTGAGAACCCATTGCTCTGAAGTTATTTTGTAAAACCGAGGCTGTTCGTGAAGGCTACAGCAAAAAAGAAAAGGTAGATCAAAACAGCAACAACAAAAGAAACTGGTGATCAGTCTCCAGTGCCAAGCCATGCCTTAGCATTTCAAATATGGACAGGTGCAGGGAACGGACTCTAAGACAGCAGCAACGAGAGACTGAGTTACAAAGACACATTCACAATAGGCACTTTAGTCAGACACAAATGACGATATTCTATAGAGAGACCTGGGAGGGGTTACATGACAGTTGGAAGGCTGTGACAATGTAGGGTAATTGAAGAGCAGTAAAGAGAAGGGAAGTGGTTTGGGGAAGAGGCAGTGGTGGTAGAGATGGAACATGAAGTGACAAAGTAAAGGAAGCAGAGATGCTAATATTCTTTGCTGGGCTCTGCTCATCTATGCCACTATTCTTTGTCAAACCATGTCTCATTAATTGTCCATAAATAATGCCTTATGGAGCAGCCCAAAAGTAAAGAGGACTAGAATATACTTGTGGAATGGTGGCCACTCCTTTGGGAGTTGTCCTTGGCAGAGTTACTTTTGCTTCCCCTCCCTTTTTGCCTGGCATTCTAAATTCTAAAGCAAAGCCTCGCCTAAATGATTAAGATGTTAAACACTAAATAATCTTCCTTTAGATTTACAGAACCTAGACCCTCTGGTGACCTTCAGATAACAATGGAATATGTAACGCCTCTTCTTATTCTTTAATCCTGTATATTAACTAACATAAAGCACATAAATTGCTATGCACTTCAACTTGCAAAAAAGTAAAATGTCTAAAGAAAATATGGGAACCAGCTCCAAAAGGTCAAGGTCAGTTGCAGTATTCCAGCTTGGGAGGGGTGGAGACACACCCCCTCTGTGATGAAGACTCCACCCAACAAGTGACCTTTCTACCTACTGTGCCACTGCATCTGTCTTTTCTCTCTACAAATGTCCTTTCACGTGCCTGAGACCCCAAATGTGGTGCTTTGAGGATGATAGCCCACTCCATTTTCTTAGGGCTGGCCCTGGAATAAGCCTGATTTTGTTCCCACCAATTTGTCTCCAGAGTATTGGCTTTTGAGTGGTGAGTAGATGGACTTGGTCCAAGAATACTTAGAACAGTATTTAACTTTTCCTAGATGTGAAGTGTTACAGTGTACACAGTACATACAGTGTGTGTGTGTGTGTGTGTGTGTGTGTGTGCTTGAGCTCATGTGCCTGTGTCATTAGATTGCTTTTTCTGATAAAATCCTGCCTGATACAAAATGGATTTTTTTAAACAATGTAAGAGTTTTGTAGCCCACTCATTACATAGTTGTAGACTGGCCCTATGGAGAAAGCATGGGATTATATTGACATTTCATTGAGAGATATGATCTGTTTGTTAACATAACTAGTCACATTTTAGAAATGAATACATTCACTGAGCACTGACTGAACACCGTCATACATGATGCCTGGTACTAGGCACATCAGCCTCCATTCAAAACATCTAGCTTATTTCATGCCAGATGTATAAATTACCATTGGAAAGAACCTAGGTTGAACTACGTTGATAAAGTGAATAAGGAAAATTTCCATGATCTGAGATACTTTCTATTATTTATTTATTTATTTATTTTTGGTGCAGTGCTGGAGATCAAACCCAAGGTCTCATGCATCCTAGACCCTATTTTTCATTTCCTGTCTTTTTTGGGAGGGATATCATAAGTTCTCTCAGAATGGAGCCTTTTTCTATATGACCAGCTGTATCCTTAGCTGCCAGAATGCGGCTTAGCACATAATAAGCATCCACAAAATATTTATAGGGAAGAAAAAAGGAAAGGAAGGAACAACAAAGAGAGGAAAGAAGTGAGAGAAAGGAAAGGAAGGGAGGGAGAGAGGGAAAGAAATGACTTCGACCTTAGCATTTTTCCAGAGGCTGGAGGTAAGATCAGTGCTTTACATGTTCAGACACTCCCTGCAAACCCAGAACAAAGAGAGAAATGCATTTTATATGTAGACTACCAGAAAAGTGGCCACTTATTTTCTCAGCGGTACTCTGACTCAACCCTCTATGAACATAGTAAATGTTTTACTCTTGGTAAGATCATAGAAATTCTCTATATAAAGAATATTTCATTTAGCTGGGTGCTGTATTGTGCACCTGTAGTCCCAGGTACTCAGGGGGCTGAGGTAAGAGGATTCCTTTAGCTCAAGAATTTGGGATCAACATGAGAAACAGTGAGATCCTGTCTCTTAAAAAAGAAAAGGAAAAAGAAAATAAAGAATATTTCCTCTTTTAGAGATGAGTTATTCCTCAAAACTAAGAGACATAAGAGCTATTATTTTCATTACTTGGTGGAAAATGTGGAAAATATTGAAAAGAAAGGGTGACTCATCCAATGCCCTAGCCTGAAATTGGTAAGTTGCAGAGCTACTTCATCAGTTTGCTGAGTTGCTGTTTTTCAGATATTTAGGCCATGCTGAAACTAGAAGAAAAAAACTCTCATGGGCCCAGTGGTACATGACTATAGTACCAGCTACTCCAGAGACTGAGGTAAGAGTTGAGGCCTCATAAAAAATAAAAAATAAAAAAATGGTAGGGAGCTCCATTAATAGAATCTGCCATACTTAGAAAAATACATAATCTTTTGGATCTTTATCATTACAGAAAAAGTCCATGATCTCAATTGAACTGCATAGACAAGCTAAGAATATAATGGAAGGAATTATTTCTGAATTTTCAAGTATAGTTTCAACTAAAGACATAAGTCATTGGTGGATAAAAATGAAGATGCCTCCAAGCAAGAGACGTTTTCCCTTTCTGCAGATTCTTTTAAGACAATAGGGTCCTAATAGCAATAAATCTGATGCAGAGGAATTGATAAAACTATATATAGGTGCATTCTGTGACTATGAGAAATAAAAGATTATATTTTCATTTGCATGGTTTGCTGGGTTTTATTTGGCAGATATAATAACACAGGCTTCGCAGAGCCCATAAAACAAAGTGAGAACAGCAGCTCATTTGGTGGCAGAATGTAATGGTTATGGCTAAAGGGCTTACATAATTCATCTCAAACCCTTATGCCTATATTTATTATTGTTTAAATGAAAATTAAACTCTCACAGCCATAAGGAGGGATCTGGTCAGAAATTTGAGATCTTTTCTTCTCAGACAGCTTTTGAGCTTATGGGTCTGTGACACTTAAAAACAGCTATAGAAATATTCAAGAAGGCACATACTTCACCCAAGTATTGTTAGTAACTCATTCCTCCAATTCTGCCTTTCTAAATAATTCTAAAACTCCCACAGGATGAGAATGAGTGTAGAGAGAGGCCCTATTCATTACACTGCCTTGGGAATTCTAGTTAGACTCAGAGCAATGTAAGCTAGGGTAAGGGATAATGTTTGCATTGAGCACAAGGTAGTACTTTGAGGGAAGGTTGGAGGGACAATAAAAGAGAAGGGCTGAGGCAAGTGATACTGACATGAACATTTCACCTAAGTAGAGTATCTCTTAATATCATTAGAAGTATTTCTGTTACATCATAGCACTAAAAGATTTTTAAATTCATGCTGTTTAACCACTTTTTTTTTTTTTTTTTTTGCAAGGATAAAAACCTTGATTCAATTGTGAATGCTCAAGACTATGGGCTTTCTATTAAGGGAAGAAACTGGGTTTACTTTTTTAAGAAATATAGTTTTTTAAAGAGAAATATGATTTTTCTGTGTATGCTTTTTTCTCTCTCTCTCTCTCCTTCTTTCTTTCTTTCTTTTTTCCTGTGGTAGGGATCAAATCCAGGTGCTGTACCACTGAGCTACATTACAGCCTATATGCCATATTATTAAATGCCTATCTGGATAAGGTTTTAAAATATCAATGATCATACCAATTTAGTGGAACTATGTTGCTTAAAACAGGAATATAAAATAACATCAGATTTTTACTTTCTGCAAATCTCATGGCGTAAACACATCATATGTAAACATAAGTTTTATAACATCAATCAAAATTGCATGCCATTCAGTAAGATAGAAATGTTTAGTATTTAAGGGCCATAATAATATTTATACTCAAAGTAGTCTTAAAAATAAAATCAACAGATTAAACCAATCATTTTTAATGACCAGCATATCCTCCCCATACAAGTTAAATAGTTAAGTAAACTCTTAATAGTTTATTTGTGAAAATAAATAAAAATGCATGGCCTAAATTTTACCCAGCATGAGCAAACACATAAGAGGCTATTTTTGAAACTGGGCTATCACTCTTGATTTTAGAACTTCTTCGTTATTTTTAGGTAAATCAATATGGATACTAAAGTGATTAGTTTGAACATTCCAAATTTGAAAATTTTATGTTATTTAGGTTGCTACTATCTACATACATGAACCAATTTGAATGAATTTGGAGGGAAAGACAAATACAAAAAGAAAGTTATTTTAAATGACTATTAAGTGCATGTAAATAACTCATTTTCTCAATAATGAGGTAATTGACAGAATTCATCTTGCTTTGGTAGTGAGCCCAAGCAGTGTGTGTGTGTGTGTGAAAGCACAGCTTTAATTGAACATTATTCTAGTTGAATAGGAATCAAATGCAAGCAAAAATTTCAAGGAACATTAAAAATCAAATAGAATATTATATATTTTCATTTGAGGTCATAAATGTAGCCTATGTATTTATTCTTCTCAGAAGATGGTTGTTTCCTAATCCATACTCATTTTTCAATCAGCTGATTTTGATGGCTTTCCTGTGGCTACAGGAAAGATCTGACAAGTAAAAAGGGAAAAACAATGGTAAACTGACCCTGATAAAGACAATTTCAGAAAAGATCAAAAGGAGACAGAAGGAAAAGGAAATGGGGACAACCAAAAACATTAGGTAAAATTTTAGAAATAAAATAATTGCATACATTGTTAATTATATTTTTGGGGGGCAATACTTTATTTATTGATTTATTCATTCATTCATTCATTCATTCATTCTATGCTAGGAATGGAACCCAGGGCCTCAAGCATGCTGAGCAAGTGCTCCACCACTGAGTTATACTCAGAGCTCACTAATTTTTTTGAATTGGAAATAATATATCCTATTATTTTAACTTTTTCGAAAATCTCCCTTCACTAAATTAAGAACAGGGGACCTAACACCTGGTGAGCTCGGCTATTCTTGGAGTCACCGCCCCACCGCAAGGTGTGTGCACTTGTGAAACAAGAGGGGACTGGAAAGGAAACAAAGGCTTGTTTTTCCTTTCAGAGACTTTCGAGCACAAAGAAGCATAGCTCTCAGAACTGCCTGCTGTCTTATCAATGCGAGTAGATGTTAGTTTGGTCAGAGTGAATATCCAGATTCTATTTCCCCAAATGACTGAAGGGAACATTTTATATTTTCTCTCTACCTCCATGTCATGTGCCTCCAAACCTCACCTCCATTCCAAATGTTTTCCTTTATGCTTTTCACATTTGCGTTCTTATCATTATTATTTTTAGGGTTGCAATCTCCAACAGTCCTTATTTTCACTCAAAATTATAATACAGGGGACTATGGCCAATGCTATGCAGATGGCCAAATAGATAATAAAGACTCAGTTCATGAATAATATCCACTCAGAAAGAGGACAAAAGCAACAGGAAAAAAGAGCCCAAATTGGACAAAATGTGCATGCTATATTTAAAAAAAACACACACGCGATCATTGTCAGAGATCATTAAGGGCGCCCTGTAGTTTTAATTATATGCCAGTGGCACCAATTTGATGTGACTGTTTGCTCTTATAGTCAATAAAAAAGTCATAACTGCCATCAAATTTAAATTTAATTTATTTTCTACACGGCCCTTTCTGTTTTCCTTGGGGTTTTTTTTCCTTTATAACATTAACACTTTTTTTGTTAAAAAATGTGTGAAAGATTAATTTGTAGAATGAGGGGAGCTGTGGGTGCACAGGACAGATGGAGTGGGTGGGACATGACAGTTTTCGTCTGTGGCATCATTTTGTTGTTGCTATTGCAAGGGAGCGAAATAAAGCTCCTGCTACCACGATCATTTCTTGGGGGTCCCTCAGAGGAGGTGAGTTACTTTACCCTCACGCTGGCCACCGAGGCTTGGAGACCCTCTCCCTAACACAGTAAGCCTACTGGAGCATTTTAATTCAAAATTGCTTTTGCTTAGAATTCCGCCTGACTTTTGTATAAAACAGAATGAAATGTACTTTTTCTTGGTAAGCTCACAATACTGCATTGAATTAATGATTTGTCTTCTCTGAGATCTTTATCATAAACCTAAAAAGAATGAGAGCTTAGATGCAAAAAATATATATATTAGTATTGTTGCTTAAAAGTTTTGGAGCACCAGTCAAAAATTCTGCTCGCACTGAAGAGGAATTTTAAAAGATTGTCAAAAATGATGATATGCAAGTTTTGATTTTTGTCTTGGAACAGCTTTAATTCATACATAAGTATTACAGGAGTCCGCCATTGTAAAGGTTCTTATGGAAGAATAAAACAGTTACTGCAAAAAAATCACTGTCATATGGCACACACTGACGTTCTGAGAAAAAGTAAAACTCTGAGGAGGAAGAGGGGAATTCAGGACAGCACGTGGGAGGGAAAATGGGAGCTCTTTTTATGCACAAAGAGATCCATTAACAATATCAGTTTCCTTCTTCCTTGATAACGGAATCAATGTGATTGTCAATAAATGACTTGGTATGACGGAGGAAACGACTACATGCACATGAAACTTTTAATGGTTAATTCTTAGCAAGGCAAGCATGCAGACACCACACCAGCACCACCCACACCTCCACCTCAAACTAGTCCATCTGTGTTGTCTGACATGGTGAGGCAAAGCAGTCCACAAAAAATTGTCAGCAGCCTAAGAAGTGAGCACCCCAGTTTCTTAGTTCTTCTTTGGTCCCAAGGCCGCTTTACCCTGGAGATCAGAGTTCCTATGGATAAGGGATTCGTTACTCGTCACTGTATAGTATTACATTATTTTTCTAACTAGACAAGGAGGAACATGTCTCTGACAGTGCTCCTGAATGGCACCCGGTGGAATTCCAGCTCTACTGGGATCAGGGACATGGTAAGCAACACCACGAAGGCAGCAAGACACAGTGATTAAAAGTCACTGGATTGTCTGCATTTGACACCAGGCTGCCCCTAACTACCTAACTGTAACCAAGATACCAACATACCCAAGCCTTAGTTTCCACTGCTGTAGAACAAGCGGGACAATAATAGTAGGGAAATTCAGCATAGGATTAGAGGAGAATTCAGAGAGACATTCCTTTGTAAGGTATTTAGACAATACCTAGCAGGCAGTTAATTGGCCTTGATTTCCTAGAAGTCAGTTTTTAGATATTTCCAACATCTGATCCTAAGGACACTCAAACCTTCAAATCTTTAATATGAAATATTAGTAGTGTGGGAAAATACAGTGTTGGACTGTAAGTGGGTGGGTGGGGAGTGAGGGAGGATAAAAACAATTAAAAAACAAATAATAGAGTATTCTATAGGAGGAAGTATAAATATTGTTCACTTGGAAAATAGCATAGACAGAAAAGAAATATGATAAAGGTATCTACCATATATTTAACTTAAAGATGTTAGCTATTTTAAATTTATGTATTCTACCAGAATTTCTCTTTAATTCTATACACTTATAGGCATTATGGAAATGAAAGATTCAGCAAGTTCTTGTGGTTCATGCCAACACATGCACAAACATAAACACAGGACAGAGACTGTCTATCCACCAATCACTGCACTATTACCATTCTACCCCTGCTTATACTAAACAACTGCAATCTTTGATATTTATACATGTATGTAATTATTTCTATACAGCTGAGGCACACAATTATTATTCTTATTCTTGTTTTGTATCTGATGCAGTTAGGTTTATGCCTCAAACACTGGAGAAGA